TTTTTTTTTTTTTTTTTTTTCCCCTCCTGCTTTCATTTTTCCCAGTATGGGGCTGAACCTTGAAAACAGTGCTAAGTATTTGACTTGTACTGCAGGTTAAGCATTTGGAGGTATGCTTGAATCACGGTATGGTCCAATTTTCATTTCCTTCCCCTAACCTCAAGTTCAGGCATAATACAATGCATAATATTTTTATAGGTTGTTTTTTATTGTTGTTTATTGGCTTTCTTATCGACTGTTCTGTTTGAAATTAGGAGACCTGCTTGCACGCATTCTTTCATTTTTCTAAAGGTACTTATGGAGCATGAACTACATGCCAGGCTAGACCACGGGAGTGAACCCACCAAAGTATAGTATATGCATCCGTGGAGCCCATTCTAATGAGAAAGGGCAAAGAACATACCGATACTCCAATTATTATGTATCACCTGGTCACCATAATAAACACAAAACAGTTAGGTAAGGGAGGTAATAGAAAATGAGGATGTTCTGAGACCAGCTAGAAGTTCTCTGCTGATAGTTTCTGTTTTCTCAAACAAGAAAATTTCTTAGCCAAGGTTAAGGCTGAAGGAGGAGCAGCTGGAAGTTTTAGAAGAGAGAAGGGGGATGGACAAGTATACCAGAGAGTGGGATAGTAAATGGACTAGGGCAAAATTGTCCAGCTACACTTAGGGCCTACCTGAATGACTCTCTAGTTCCAACTCATATATGCTGTCTCCATATTTGTGGTTAAGTCGTTTAACATATGTCTATTTAACTCTCAAGAAAGCTAATGAGCTTACAGATGATCATCCATTTGCAAACACATTGCATTCTTTGGGAGCTGCTGAACAAATCCAAGCTGTACATTATTGCCCTCAGCACTTTCTTCAGAGGTTTAATAATCAGAGCTAAAATCTAATTGATGACATCTACTCCTCTATTCAATCTCTACTAGCTTCTGTATAATTCTTGATATGGTTTCAACATTTAGTTCCCTCTAGTTTTGTTCTTCAGCCTTTACAAATAATATAAAAATGGTTGTGACATTAAAGAATAATACCTATGATTCTCAACTGAACTGATAGATCTTTTAGGAGAGTCATAACTATTTCTTCCAGTGTGGTCTGTGAATGCCCAAAGTAGAATGGGGAAGTGCCACTTGACGTCTCCCTGTTGCAGATCAGGTAAACTTAGTCAGACTGGTTTAATGCAGCAGGTATAGGTGGACAAGTGTGAGAGCCTTGCTTGTTGGACTGTGCCCCACTTGAGACTACTGTTGTTACTCCAGAGGCATTAACACTGCAGCACTCCAGTGAGAGCTGAGAGCTACACCTAAGTTGACATCACTTGTTATATTGTATAGCCTATGTGTGTTTTTCTTTGTCACTCCTATAACAATAAGGAATGCACCTTAATTCCTCCAATTTCTTTAAAAATAAAATTAATTTTTAATCTTTAAAACCATCCCTGGAACTTTTACAATGAGAGAAAGGAGGGCCTAGAAACATAACACAACAGGGAATTTTATTTCTAAAAATATTTAGGTGTTTCCTATTCAAGGTCTTTTCAAAACAAGCAAAGCTAAGTGGTGGTCACTTCCAAAGTGTGAAGATTCTGCAATTATCCTTGTCCCTCCATTATGGGAACTGTTTGAAGAGGCATAGTAGTTATTTTCAATTGCTAGAGTGAAACACAGAAAGAGGAATTGCTAACCAAGTAGAAGGCAGACTGCTTTGAGCTTTAGTAATCAAAATCAACACCTCAAATTATCCACAGAAGTTGAATAGGTAGTCACTGACGAGGAGAGCACAGATGTTCCTCACTTTGTTTGTCCAATTCCCTTCAGCAGATGGGCAATAAAAAGTCTGTGCATGCAGTAGGGAGGCATCAAAGCCTTAACATAGTCATAGCATAAACTAAAAGCAACAGCATATCAGAGGCTCCAAATCAATGGATTTGGTGTTGCCATTGATAAGGGAAGAACAGCTTGAACAGAAGGCAATGCTACTAATCACATTCTGTGAAGATTCATGACACCTTTATTCCAAGGAAAGCAATGTGCTAAGCACATCATCATTACAGTCAAGATATATTTATCATGCTTAATATGGGTGAGGTAAGTATATTCTCATTATCTCATTTTTTTACAGCCTGATAGCTACTTTGAGTGCAAATCCTTTTAGCTTTATTTTATGGGGTGATATTGAAAAGCTAAGTGATATGACTCAGTTCTCATATTTGCTTGTCAGGAGAATTTATGGAGATCAATTCCTGGGCTATTTCTAGACTGGAGATAGCTAAAATTCAGTGAAGTTTTCAGTTTACAAAGTTGCCATTGGCTTTCATTCAGGTTGAAGCAATTCTTGGATTTACATATTATTCTTATGCTTTGGAGACTGAGAAGTCTTAATTGCACTCTGATCCCTTTTCACCTGCACTCCAAATGATTCCTTTTCCCCATACTGTGTAGCCTAGAGAAAGAGACACGCGTAGCCTCAGAGGAGGAGAGCTTTGGAGACTGATAGCTGGCAAGTGCCTCATTTTTCAGATCACGAATTTTCTCCAGGCCTAGGTAGAAACTTCTGCAGACTTGGCTAGTGTCTGGTGACAAAGTGTGAATTCTTTCTCTGGTGGTAAGCCCAGTAGTGTAACATTTGTGTGTGTAACTAGTCATCTTAGAGGGTCACATCTGTCACAAAGCAGTGTAGTTGTGCTTCCGTGTGAGGTGGAGTCTAGCTGTCTTGAATTGGAATCCAGCTTCATCACTAATCTACTGGGTGACTTTGGGCAAGTAATAGAACCTTTTCTTTTCTTTCTTTCTTTCTTTTTTTTTTTTTTGGTTAATTTTTGCTATAGGGCCCATGTATAGAAAGACAGGTTTGCTTTAGGGCACATGTATAGACAGACAGATTGGGAGACTAAGAGAGAGGGAAAGTAAGAAGTCACCCCTGCCCAGGGTGGATGGCCATGCTGCAATCCCTTCTCCTATATTCTCCTCTTGGCACTGTAGGTACACGCCCAGTATGTTTTTTTCAAGTTGCTGGGTCCAGGACTCAAACTGCAAGGTCGGACATATGGTATCCAGCACTTTAATTACTGTGTCAGGGGCAGACTCAAACCTTTTAAACTGTTTCTCTTTTGTAAAGTGGTATTGATAGCTCTCCATTTATCTGGGAGGTAATGAATCCCTGAAGATAATGTATACAGAATATCCAGAAAAGAGTCTGACAGAGAATGAGTACTTAATAATTGTATCACTATCATACTCACCATTTTTATTAATATGTGTATTATCATTATTGAATTCTTATTTTGATATTTGACTCAGAGAGAAAAAATCAGTACAGAAGACAACTTATTCACATCCCTTTGTTATAACTGATTTAAAACATTTTTTTAAATGTCATAATGCATTCAGATCATCTTCATGGTTCACCAGATTTGATTTCAGTTGACTTTAGAACCTCTTCAAATTATCGCCATTTTTGAGGAACAAAAGCTATTGTCAGCAATAATGACCAAAAGATTGTGGTACAGCCTTCGAAAGGCCATTCTAAAGGCAATAATGGCAGTTCTATTAAAAGTGTGCAGACTCCTGAGTTATTTACTTAAAGGGCACAACAACATTTGCCTGTATATGTTTCTTTTAAAAAATCAATTGCATATATTTGGCGTCAACCTTGTATGTAAGTCTTTTGCTATTGTTATGTTTTTAGAATAAGATTGAATGACATGTTGAATGACATATTTTTAAACCTCAGCTTCCCTTGTTTATAAACCTGAATGTTATTTTATCACTTAAGTCTCATTTAAGGACTTGGACTGTACACACATACACACACACACACACACACACACACACACACATGCACTTTCCTTATCTGTGGTTTTATTTTCCATGGTTTCAATTACTCGTCATCAGCTGTAGTCTGAAAATAGGTGAGTATAGTACAAGAAGATAGGTTGAGAGAGAAAGAGATAACTTAATATTTATTACAGCATTTTGTTGTAATTGTTCTATTTTATTATTTTATTTATTATTGTTAATTTTTTACTATAACTAACTTATAACATAAACTTTATCAAAAGTATATACATATAGGAAAAAACATAGTACATATAGGTTTGGCTCCATCCATGGTTTTAGACATCCTCTGGGGGTTTGGAAATGTCTACCCTATAGATAAGGGGATCTGGTATATCTTTATCAGTATATCTGACTCTGCTATAAAGCCAAAGTATACTCTAAGGCACAAATTTTAGTTGGATACTGTAGCTCTTGGTTGATGAGTTGTTTTCTTTTTTACTACTGTCAGTAAGATTACTAAGAATTTGTGTGTTCATTTATAAGAACACACAAAGAGAAACAAGAGTATTTATTTTATTTATTTATTTATCTATTTTTTTGGTAGAGATTTTTGACTTAGGGTGTGTGCACTCACCAGAGAAAGAGAGAGAGAGACAGTGAGAGGGAAAGTGAGAAATCAGCTCCCAGGGGGAATGGTCATGCTGTATCCCTTCTCCTTCATTCTCCTCCCATAATCTTGGGAATGCATGCACATGTGCCTGCCATGATTTTCAAGCCACCAGGTCCAGGACTGAAGCCATGGTCAGCCACATAGGAGTTTAGTGACATAACCGCTACACCATCTGCTAGCTCCGAAACCAGTTTATTTTTAATTAACATATGTGTACTATAGTAAAAATATTTCTTATATAATTTCTTACTAACATAAAAGCTAAATGATTTAAGAGACCAGCAGATGGCGTGTCAACTGTGGTTTGAGTCCTGGATCCAGCAGCTTAAAACTCACGCCAGGCATGTGTGCATGCGTGTCCAAAATCATGAGAGGCGAATGAAGGAGAAGGGATTGTGGTGTGGCCATCCCGCCTGGAGTGGTGATTTCTCACTTTATGTCTCTCTGTCTCTCTCTGCCTCTCTGGTAAGCATAGGTGCCCTATAGCAAAAAAACTCTCTCTCTCTCTAAAAAAAAAAAAAAAAAGAAGAAGCAGCTAAATGATTTCAGAAACTGTGTGGTTCCACTGTACTACATAGAGGAATTAATAAACACATTATATTCATTTTTTAAATAGATGTATTATTGCAATGGGTCTCGACAAAAAAACACCTTCACCAAAACCTAAGAGAGAAAAGAGCACCGAGAAAAGAGAGGAGCTGAAGAAGAGCGAGGGGAAACTGAGGAAGGACAGGGAGTATGTGATACCAAGAAGAAAGGAGATCGAGGGGAACAAAGCCTCTGCCTCTGCCGTTTTTTCAGCTCAAGAAGTAAAAATGGGAGACAGAGAAGTGAGAACTGCTGTGGAAGAAATGGAACAGAAAGGAAAACCAGGACAAGATGTTTGGGAAGACGACCAGGAAAATACTTTAAAATATGGTAATCAATAACTCATTATCACTGCTTGGTTTAGTCTCTAAAATGTGATCATCAAATTTGTAAAACATCTGCATTAAATTTTGTGGTTTTTAGGCAGCTCAGACTTTCAAACACCTATCTTAGATGCTACACAGTTGTAGGTCACAAGTTTAAAGAATTCAAAAGGGGAGCTTCCTGGGGGTATGTCATTTACCCAGGAGAGGAAGAAACCTAGATTAGAGGTACCACAGCCATGGATTAGAGTGATTGGTGAAGGTCTGGCATTGAAAAAGGGGAAACTCTGGGAATCTCCTCTCTCACTTCATTTAATTTCTGGCCAAAGGTTTCATAAATCCTAGAGAATAATTGCAGAGCTGCTATAGCAATGGACTTTTTACTAAAATAATGTGACTATCTTTAAAAAGATTTTACTCATAATGCTTTTACCCAGTTTACCCCTCTCAATAATACCTCTACTCTTTCATTCTTATCTTTAACTGAGAATACAAAATGATCTCTAGCAACAGCAGTTGAAGAGCTTAACAAATGGGCTCCATGTCTTAACTAGTAGGATGTGGGGGTTTATTAGAGCCAACCAGAGAAAGAGAAATAGAGAGAGAGAAAGAGAGAGGAAGAAAGCCACTCCCTAATGGGGCATGGTAACTCAACCATCCCTTCTATTACATTTCTCCAGCCTGTAAGGATTCAGGGCACACATGCATGCACACATGCCCAGCATGTTATTTTCAAGCCATTGGGTCTGGGACTCCAACCATGTGGTCAGCCATGTGGATTCAACTTTCTTTTTCTTTTCTTTTCTTTTCTTTTCTTTTCTTTTCTTTTCTTTTCTTTTCTTTTTTTTTTTTTTTTTTGTTGGAGGTTTTTGTTCGAGGGCGGGCGCCCTCCCCAACATAGGGCGCGTGCACTCACCAGACAGACAGAGAGAGATAGAGAGACAGAAAGTGAGAAATCACCCCCCCAGGGAGGATGGCCATGCCGCAATCCCTTCTAGGGATCTTAGGCACGCACGCACACGCACCCGGCGTGAGTTTTAAGCCACCGGGTCCGGGACGCGAACCACGGTTGACTACGTGGGAGTCCAGCGACATAGCCATTACGCTAACTGCTGGTCCCATGGATTCAACTTTCTTAACCACCAAGCCATGAGGCTGATCTGAGGTCTTTCTTGAGTGTTGGCTAGTTAATTTACTCTATGTGCTCATTCTCATTAAATAACAAACAAAAAGCCACGTAGCATCAGTAGTGATGGCAGGGCATTAGCTCGCTGCAGAACCACCATTTCATCATAAAGGCAGCAAGAAGCCTGAGTCAAGATCAACAAATGAAGGTTGTGGCTGGAGTGATGTTGACCTGTGTTGCCTCATGTCCTCATTAGTGGGAACAGTAAACAAGCTATTTAAATTCTCTGAAAGAAGGAAAATGGGATGGAAAAACAAGACATTTTGAAAACAATTCCAGAAAGCATGCCATTAGTTCATACATATTGAAAACACGAGTAGATAACACACAAAAGTGGTATGCTTTGAGCTATACTGCTAGTGAAAGGCTGATGGTTTGCAGAAAGCTGATATTTAGATGTGTTCATAGAAGGGGTAGAACAAAGCCAGGGTATCCTTGCATTTCATATTTGGTCCTATGAAATAAGATCTAGGGGCTCTTTTTGTGGCTCACTACATGTTCCCTCAATTTTATGCTCTGCTTCAACTGTAATTATGCCCTCATTGTAGACACTTGCACTGCTCTGACTTTAATCAGGTGCTTCCATTAAAGTGTGTTGCCATCATTGTAGCACAAATTGTGTGTGATTTCTCCTGTTCTATAACCAACTTCCTCTTAATAGTGATTAAGATTAAATCCCTGATATTTATTAGGAAACTGCTATTCATGGCACTGTGATAATCATATTCCAGGGATTTTTTTTAGAGAGATTTTTATTATAAGGTGTGTGCGCTCACCAGAGAGAGAGAGACAAAGAGACAGAAAGTGAGAAATCACCCCCAGGGGGAGGATGGCCATACCCATTTCCTTCTCCTTCATTCTCATCTTGGGATTTTGGGCATGCATACACATGTGCCTGGCATGAGTCTTAACCCACCAGGTACTGGACTTGAACCATGGTCAACTCTGTGGGAGTCCAGTGACATAATCATTACATCATCTTCTCATTCCCCTAGGGATTTTTTCCTTTAATCTTACTCACCGTAGCTTGTACTTCCCATGTTACAGATGAAAAAACTGAAGCTTAAATATGTTAAATAACTGTAGGTCACATAGCTAAATAAGTGTTTTACTTGGATTGTGGGCACATGGCTGCCTGACCCCAAAACCCTTCCACCTCATACTTTGTAATATTGTGGACAGAACTGTAGCAGTCACCATGTTCTGTCTGGCCCCCTTATCTTGTGACCAGTAGCAAATATCTGTAAAATGTTATATTGGAGTCTATTCTGTGGCTAACTTCGCCACCTCCTTTTATGAAGTCTTCCATGATCTCTTGAAATGACTTCTCACACATGTTTGATTTCATTGCACTTAACTGACATTACGGTATATAATTACTCATGAGTTCTATATAAAAAGCAATGCAACTGAGCCCACAATGTTGAAACTAACATTACCGAAGACCGTGTATAACACTACTGCACAATGAACATAGCATCTATGGGGTACCTACATCTTATTTCCCAACAAAAAGTGGAAATTCTCTGATGGCAGGGGTTGACTTATTGTAATATCTTTTTTCTTGCAACTTTATCTTCTTCCACATACAGGGTCCATGATAAAGTTTACTGATTGACAGTTCACTGAGTCAAGTGAGGATTTTATAACTGGCCAGCAATACTTGAATCACAATATTTGTTTTCATTAGTATTTCCTATTTGTGTCATATGATGTGAACCAATATTTTCATTTGCTTATTTATGTTACAGTTTTGTTTTATTGATATTCACATTTCTTGTTTCAAAGCATAAAATCTCATTCTTGAAAACATTTTTGTGATTCTTTGTTTGCCTTTATTACAGCTTTTTATTTCAACTTTTCTGTTACATTTCCCTCATTCATTCTCTGCATTAACAGAGTTTTTTTTTTTTCATATGCATGGAGCATACATTTCTAAATTAAGTTCCTTTCATTGTAGTCAGTGGACAGGTCTCAAGTAAATTACTTTAGAGTCCCCCACAATAGACAAGAAGCCAGACTATCTAATAACTAAACACACAAAATTTGGAAAACTTTATTTTCCTTGTAATTTTTATTTTACGGATAATTGTTCATTTGCTTAATTGGTTCTGCATGAGATCCTTTGCTTTCTATCTTTGGCATGTTGTCACTTCAAGATTTTTAGTTTTTCATGGAAGAAAAAGGGGAACAATTAAATATGAAAGGTGATAAATTATAACCACAAGGGACAGCTGGAGTTTATCTGATGTGACAATTTCCTTTTCCTGCTACAAATTTGTTGCATCTCTGTAGCAAATGGAACAAATTTATGACCATGACAGGAATATTCTGTTTTTGTAAAAAAAATTTTTATCTTTAAAATGCAATTACTTCATTTATTGTAAGAGTGAATAATACATATGATTTCAATTCAGGTCTAGGGATAGAATCCTTCATAATGTTTTTTCTTGATGTCCATTTGGTTCTCAAAGAATGTATTATTCACAGTGTTATTTCCCAGGGCCTTCGGACTTGATTAATTGAATTTTTCCACTTCACTATTCATTAACTTGATATCCAAATATTTTGAACATTCTTTATATGAAATATGACCTCATTGGGTCTCCAAATTAACTTTCATTATTATAATCCTGTTCTCTTCATTTTTAATTTATTTCTAATGTATTGTTTTATATAAAGTGCTTCTTTTTCCATTTTAGTCATTGTGCATGGTGATGTCCATTTGTAAATGAACTTTTATTAGGTTTCAGACTTGTCATTTGGAGATTCATTTCTTTCATGCTCTTGTATATGTAACTGATTGCAATCTTTGATCATTTGCAGTTAGTTTTCCATGTTCACTAATTGTGTGAAAAAAAAAAAAAAAAGCCAAGAAAGGCCCAGGGAAGACAGAATAATGGAGTTAAAGTTCTCATTAATGTGAAATGGGTTAAGTATCAGGGATTCCATTTTTTTTTTACAGTGAAGATTTTCTTTTTTCAGAATATGAAGAAGATTTTGAAGTAGATGAAGAGAAGCAAGATGAGAAAACTAATGAAAAAGGACAAGCGAATGAACAAATGAATGGAATGTCAAAGTCACCCTTAGATGATGAAAAAGATAGTTCAGACCCTGATAAGGAGAGTGAAACCTCATCACAGAAGGTACCAGATGCCACTGACGATGTGAAAGATGAGGATGATGGATCCTCTAAGAGTGAATTGGAAGACGATAAACAAGGTGAATTGTTTAGGTTACCATATGACATAGACTGTTTACTACTTTTCTTTGTATTTAATGCATTAATCCTCACTTAAGGAATGTTTAGCTCATGGTCTCCTAGCCAGAGGATGATGCTCAATCAAATTTCTGTAGATATCCAGAATACTGAGTCATTTCTTTTTCTTTTCTTTTAAATTTTGGCAGAAGGAGTATGTCCTCTCGGGAGAGGGACAGAAAGAGACAGAAAGAAAGAACAAAAGTGGAAAAGTAATCCCCTCTCCAGGTAGAGGTGGGGGGATGGCCACTCCACAAGCTCTTTTTCTCCATTTTTTCAAGATTTGGGGTATGCACAAAACACATGCCCAAAGTTTTCTTCAAGTCAGAGTCGAGGGCTTGAATGGGACAATCAGCCATGTGGGATCCAGCCACCTCAATCACCGTGCCACTGGCTCACTCTGAGTCTTTTCTTAATCTTTTCTATTAGTTTCTGGGATTTTTCAGCAAGTTGTTAGGAAAAGCTTGTAATGACACAACTTCTATTTACTCTGAAAGTTACCATGTTTTCACCCCAAATTATTCCTTATTATACACACACACACACACACACACACACACACACACCTTTTTGCAACTTTAAAAAAACAAAAAGCCACTGCTACTTGTAAAAGAAAAGGAACTTTAAATGGAATCATGATTCTAACTACTAATAATTTAATCCTGGTTTTCAGAAAAGCCAAGGAAAAGAGTGAAGAAGGTTATAGAAAATAAGAATGAGGTCAACTATCAGTACATTTGAAAACAAGATTGCCATCATTTTTATTATGGTTGGAAGAACTATTCAGGATTAATAGTCATTGACATATTTTTTAAGGTGCCAGCAGGTGGTGTAGTGATTAAAGGCTAGACTACCACATGGTTGACTACGGTTAGAGTCCTAGACCTGGTGACTAGAAACTCATGCCAGGCACATATACTTGTGAGTTCAAAATCCTAAGAGGAGAAGGGATTATGGCATGGCCATCCCCAAGGGGAGTGATTTCTCATTTTCTGTTTCTCTCTCTCTCTGGCAAGCTCATGTGCCCTATACCAAAAACAAAACAAAATAACACCAAAAAACCTCAAAAACAGTTTTTCTTAATATTTACATTTTATGTCTCTTAAACTAGTCTAAGTGCTTTTCTCAGTTTGAATGCCTAATATATAAGCTCTTTTCTCAACTGGAATATGAAAATTGGGCTTAGGTTTATATCCCTACATGACATAAAGAAAGTTAAAGAATTCTATGGAAAAGTGATGCCAATAATTTTAAAGAAGCTATCCAAGTGACTTAAGTCTAGAAAAGGATTGACAAAGTGTTTATATGTAAATATAACTAGTTCAACACACAAAGGAATATTATTTTTTTTTATTTGTCCCAATGGTGGAAAATTATCAAGTTGTTGATTTCATAAAGAGTCGGTATACTCTGGCTATCTAGTCACCTTATTTTGTGCTGCCTAATCACCTTACTTTTTTTTGTTCTTTTTTTGGGGAGAGGTTTTTGCTATAGGGCACGTGCATTCGCCAGAAAGACAGAGAGAGACAGAGAGACAGAAAGCAAGAAATCACCTTCAAGGGCGGATGGCCACCCCACAATCCCTTCTTCTCCATTCTCCTCTCAGGATCTTGGTCACACATACACACACACTTGGCGTGAGTTTAAGCCATCGGGTCCAGGACTCAAACCGCGGTCAACTACATGGGAGTCCAGCAACATAGCCATTACACCAACTGCTGGTCTCAATCACCTTACTTTTTGGGGAACAAATGGATTTTTCTAAAAGTAACTTATGGTCAAACAGAGAAAAATGTGGGCAGTAGCTGGATCTTCCTCAAAGGGAACATTTTAATCATTTAGACCTGTAATTATTGAGTAACTAACAGTAATAGGTAAGCTTCAACACTGAATGGGGCTTGCATGTAGATAATTGGAATCCCATGTATGTAACTAATTGGAAAAGCTTCCTATAATTGCTAATACAACAGATACTGTTTATTAAGACTCTATTATGTGTTAACCTCTATACTGAATATTTTCATGAATTATCTCATTTCCCTATAATAACCTTAAGAACAGGTACATTTTCTTTTTATCGCCATTTGACAAATAAGTACACTTCGAAATGTTGAGATTAAATAACTCCTAAATGATCAGAAAGTAGCAGAACTAATATATAAATATTACCCAACTTCAGAGCCTACATTTTGGAGAAAAATAGTACATTTTTTCCCAAATTAGAAAATATCTGCTTTCCAAAAATTAAATCAAATCTCCCCCACATAATGAGATTTTGTTTCCTTATGAATATAAATTTAAGAGGCTTTTGTCTTGAGCTCTTCATCTTATTCTGTTCTCTAGCCTCTGGTTTTGTGTTATTTTGTTCCTAAAAAGAGGAAATGAAAATGGACAGTTTCTAATTTTAACCAAATTTACCTTCAGGAGACTCTCCTGATGGCCTCCCAGGCCTTTTGGTTTGTTCTAGCTCATTCTCCTCCTCTTCCATGGCTTTTTCCGACTTCAGGATCCTTTGCTGAGCTCCTTGTTTCTGATATGCAATCATTCCTTTTTACTCATTGTCACTTGTGAGTTCAAGTTTTTGCCCCTCAACTTAATTACAGAGTTAATAACACACAAATTAATTATACTATGCAAAACCAGGACTGTGTTTTGTTTTTGTTATTTTCTTAGCTGATTTCCTAAAAGATACTTTGTAAATATTTAGTAACTTGATTGTTAACACCAGGGATACATAGGTACTTTGTTTAGTGCCTTGATACTTTAGTGCTACCTTCCTTTGCTGTTTGAATAAGGAAGTTATCATGCTATCTTTTAAGGGCTCTTCTGTATCCCTGTTATTTACATTAAAACACTGCCATTGTTTGAGAATAAAACCTCATTGCTTATTACTGTTTCTTCCCTCCACCTTCAGCCTCTCTTATTTTTCCATTTCTTTGTTTTGATAACCTGTCCTTTGCTATTCAAAAACATGCCTTTTAGCAAGTGGAGTATCAGAATTAGATATTTCATCCAATAAAGAAACCCGTATTAAAAATGATAATGACATGACAGATTCCCTGGAACACTCTGTTAAAAAGCCAGACAGCATTTCATCTTTAAAAGTGTAAAAGGCATATTGTGACCACTGCATCCCAGACACTAGTACATCCTTTTTATTGACATGATTAAGAATCTTGCTGTTAGTATTTGGATGTGTTTCATTTGAACCTGCCTGCACCTGTTCCCAGAGGGCAAACAATTGCCCAGGCTGTCACTCTCGTGACAAGTCGGCCCCATTTAAACTGCCAGCTAACAATCGCGTTGTCCCGCCTTGATGAATGCACTGTACCGAGCAGCGCGTGAGTGATAGAGTGCGAGGGACAGAAAGCTGACTAAGAGAGACCCTGGTTTAGGAATGATGTGTGAGACTTCCTATCATTTAAAAAGAGCGACAGTTTCCTTTCTTCTATATTTGTGTTGGCAACCCCAGGCACTGATTCACCAGCTGAAAATATGTTGTTGTAGATGAATGCTCTAAGGTTGAGGGGGAAAGTAGCATGTCACTAAGAATATACTTTATAGACAGTTTGGATGGTAGTGCCTATGAGTGAGAGGTAAAGACTAAGTAGTTCCTTTGAGAGAGAGAGAGAGAGAGAGGAAAAAGAGAGAGTGGGAGAGAGAGAGAGAGAGAAGTTGTTTCTGGATATGAAGAAAAAAAGGCAAGATGAAGAAAAAATTTTTTCCAGTAAGAAAAATAATTATTTCATTTGTGTAATTTTTTAGTCTTGAAAAAGTAGGCCTAATGGACCATTAAAGGTCAAGTCTCAAAAATATTCTATTTACTTGACTTCATAACTTTCAGAATCTCACTATCTTTTGGCTCGACTATTGACTTGGATAGATGCAAGACTATTGACTTGGATAGATGCATATAGGTGAAGGCTTCTCGTTCTGTGTTGAAATCATCTATACTGTGAAACCAAACGTGGACCCCAGGATAGTTTATCTGCCTCTTGGATCAGAGAGGATTAAGGAGGACAGTAGGTGGCTTTTGGCCAGAGACTATATGTGTGATTTTCTGCATGGTTAGTCAAACTTTAATTTTTTTAATGTTATGAATTCTTCAGCCATGGTCACTTGATTAGTGAAGTAGGAAGTCACAGCTTTCAGGTAAATTTTAAATGTAGCACTATTCTCTAGTGCACATAATTTTTTTTTTTTTGAGAGGATTTTGCTATAGGGTGAGTGTACTCACCAGAAAGACAGAGAGAGACAGAGAGACAGAAAGCAAGAAATCACCCCCCCAGGGGGGCTGGCCACGCCGCAATCCCTTCTCCTCCATTCTCCTCTCAGGATCTTGGGCACGCACACACATGTGCCCGGCGTGAGTTTAGGCCATCGGGTCCGGGACTCAAACCACGGTTGACTACATGGGAGTCCAGTGACATAGCCATTACACTAACTGCTGGTCCCATAAAATGGTTTTATATGAGATTTTCTCTATGGTTTTGAGTCTGTCTTGTATATAGCAAAGAAACTGTCTAGACATTCAACACAATCTTATGAACAGAGGGCTCGTTGATTAGATGAATGACAATGTAAAAAACATGTGCAGCACGATGTGACGTATGATTTGATGATATAGTCAATCCTTTGTATCCATGGATTAGACCAACTGATTCAAAAATATTCAGAAAAAAATTGGTTGCATCTGTACTACACATGTTTTGTCATGATTCCTGAAACAATACAGTATAACAATTTACATGATATGTATCTTGTATTAGGTATTATAGTAATCTAGCATATGAGAGGATGTGCCTAGATTATCTACAAAGCTATGCCATTTTATATAGAGACTTGTACTTAAGTGGACTTCTTTTTCTTCAGGGAGTCCTGGAACTTAATCCTCCATGAATACTGAAGAATGATTATATTCTTAGCATTTTAGCTACCCATTTTATGGGGAAACTTGCAATTA